ATCTCTAATATCGACTTCAGAAACATCGATCGGGAACGCTCACAACGAAGTTCCTATTAATCAACTGATCTCGACTGTCATTATAACAACAAGTCAGCCCTCGAGGTATCTGAATATGACAAATATGATTCCAAGTCAAACGCCATTGATCGTTGACCAGAGATGCACGGGGTTCTGTTTTGTTATGCCGCGCCCCGTCCCATGTCATAATAAAAGGTGTTCTCCTTCATGACAATTGTTCGAAACTCATCGATCGGCAATTCGAGAAAGACACTGAATGGCAGTCATCAGACTTAGTTCAATGATCATCTCTGTTCAAGATCGACTATTCGAGTTATCGATTCGTTCAATGAGAACGAAGGACCAACGAGAAATTAAGATTATCTCAACTTTCTATGATGTCTTCAAAAAAATCATATACACGATGTAAATCATTTATGGAGCTTTTTTAAACGACATCCGTATTTCCCTTTTTACGCTGGTTGATTTGGGCATTATTCGGTTTTGTTGATTGCTGCCCATGACTATCAAAATTTTCTGGACTTAACCAACGTTGAAATTCTTGTTTCGAAAGTATCCATTCATTATCGACAATACTGTAGACTGCATTATCTCGTGATCGGCCCTTACAAACTTCTGATTTTAGCGATATGCCTTCATATTGATAGCCTAATCGTAATGCTGGTCGTCGTGATTTCGTATTCAAAGAATAACATGTCCATTCTACTCGTCTGTAACATAATATATCAAATGCATATTGTAATAACAAATAATTTGCTTCGGTCGCTGATCGGATGTGTAATAACTGTGGACTAAAATTTACATGACCAATTTCAATTTTACCATGGTCTTGATTTATTCTTAAAAAACCAATAAATCCAACGGCAATATTATTAACTATAATACTATAGAAAACAGTGTCACAACTTGGTAATTCTTTGAAACGTATAAATTCTTTGAATTCATCGACTATTTGAAATGGTCCATAATGTAAATAAGTAAAATGAGTGTGCTCTGTTGGTTTGAAGGCATCATAAAGTTGTTGAATAATAGTATCATTCGTTTTTGAATTTAATAATTCAAGTCGACAATATTGACCTTGAAGTATAGTACATTGTGGATTATCGAGCTGATGAGGACGAGGTATCCAATTTAGAACAGTTTCACCAACTTGTTGATCGATAGGAATAGTAACTATTGGAGTTACTAATTGCGTCATTGACTGTATCTTATAAAAGAAAAGGTTTCAAAGTGAATCTTTCCATCTTTCCTTATCAATTGCTTATCTTTACTCGATACAAATCTCGACGAATCATACGTTCTTTTCGAATGTTGCCTCTATTTTACATTAGTACGAAGATTTTGCGAAAATTTTCCAAATCAAATTTTTTTTGCTTTTATTTAAAAATGACATCTTCAATTATACGATATAATTGATACAAGTAACGCTCGTTGTGGCGACTCACTTGGCCCTCGACTGAACGTTGTGGAGTCGCTTTTCAATATGAGATTGGTCTCGCTAAGTCATTCAATCAGAATAAACGAAAACATTGCAACGCACTTGTGAGGTCCTCGCTGTCTATAATAATTATTATGAACTCCAATCGTTCACAATGGCATCTTCATTATCTTCGAGAACTCCTCTAGAATGCGTCAGATACTTGAGACACAGTCGTTTAGTCAAAATTAGAATGCATTTGTACAATTCTTCATTTGCAGCTGTTCTGAACAAAGATTTCAGATTCGAATGGACGGAGTGAATTCTGGCAACGTTCCCAAAAACCAACTCATCTTAAAATGTCGCATTTGAACACTACATTTGATCAAACACGATCAAAAATACCTACTAGAATAAATTCAACCACCAACTTCACTATGCGATTCGGTTTCGAAGCGCGCATATGAAGCATATTGAGAAAAGGTCACTGAGACAGGGATCGTATAACGCCCGATGCATATGTAATGAGACTAATGTCAGATTTGTTTGTGGGATCAGAAAACACGCAGCAGCCTTCATTATTTTTTCATCGGGTAGAGCAGATGTTTTGGATAATAAAACCACTCTTCAGACATAATTTCTCAGTTTTCTGGGTGCTCAAACGTCAGCGACGACAAAGGCACCAAAACGTATCAAGTTTAAGGGGGCAAAACTGTTTTCTTGATTTCTCGATTTCCGAGGATTTCCAAAGGTATTTCAACTGATCTTTCATTCAAGACTAGCTAGGTATCGCTGGATCTTGCATACAACATCGAGAATTGTTCTCACTCAAGATTCTCGACACTTCTATTGTCTTCCGAGATGCAGACGTCAACATCGAGAAGCCCGAGTGTAGTCACTTACATCCAAGGGGATGAAAATCAAGAACAGTTATCTATCTATGTCTACGTATGTCAATTTCGAATAATGTTGAATGAAATGATGAAGAGAATGATATGGAAACTCAATCACCCATGACTCTTGATAAACAATTAGCAGAGAAACAACTTTTGTTTTCAGTGAAATACGATGAAACACAGTTGTAACTTTATTCAGAGATGGAAATTTTCGACCTTCAGAGAAACGGTCATTTTCAACCTTCGATGACAATAATGCTCGAAAACATTATCATTCAAATCTCAAGTCAAATCTCTCTTCCAATTTGATATGCAATCAGCAGTACATACAGTACTTGAGTCTTCTCTTTTTCACGCCGTTTGACTAGATGCTGTTTTCGATCTCTCTCGTTCTTGTTTCTTCTTCTTGTTGTAATGGTTGTGTTTCGTGTTCGTGGTTATGTTCATCGTCATGAGAGTTTCGAGCATTAATGTCATCGTCAGGTTGCAAATGACCATTCTTTCAAAGATCGAAAATTTCCGTCTTGAATAAACAAACAACTACGTTTTCTAGTTATCTATTGGCTGTAAATGACCATACATGAGCAAGGGTGACCGAGTTTAAGTGAACTATGTATTTGTGTTGGTCAAAATTCGTCTTTAGCAGAATTAAACTCCGATAAAAAACCTTATGCTAAAAATCGGTAGTTCAATTTTTCCTAGGCCAAATTGGTTGCAAGAAAATATCTGTTCATTACATCCGATAAGTTTCTAGTTCGTTTATTGTCGTGCTTCAAATCAGAATGTTGAAGTTGTAGGGCTCGCGACCAATCTCAAGCAGAATCTACCTCTTCTCTCGGAAGTTGTAGGGTGCGCTAGTTTCTTGCAAAGCTATCAGTTTCGTTTTGAGAACCCTGAATTGTTAGATGAAAGTTTCAGTGAAATGGTTACAATCCTGTGTCTTCTCAATTGAAAAGCGAAGACAAAAGCTCTAGAGCGGTTCGGATCTTTGCGTGCACTGTTCACAGGCAACTACAGGGCGTTCACTTTATTTTGAATCTTGATCTCACTTTTGGGAGAAAAACGGAGAATAAGATGACGTTGCTCGAACTTTTTTGATCATCGATAAGGAATGAAGGTGAATATAATAAAAGCATTGAAGACTCGAACTCCGCTATTGACTGAAGGAAGACAAACGTGATATTGATATAGACAGAGAGGAATAAACGAGAAAGAAAAACGGCAGATTACATGCCCATAATACAAAAATACCGACATGACTCAACCAGCGAGTGCTTTCTATCTCGCATGTCGCAATGGCGATCTTGCTACGGTTCAGCGTCTCCTTCCAACGCTAAGCATGCACGAAATCAACCAGACAGAACCAAATGGTAGTACCAGTCTGCACGCTGCATCTTTTTACAACCACCCAGAGGTAGTAAAAATTCTCCTTGACCATAATGCTATACCAAGTGTCTTGAACCAAAAGAACTTAACACCCGCCGAGGAAGCTGCTACAGAGGAGATCAAACAGCTCTTTTTGCGCCCCCATGTCGTCACCAGAGAACGCTTTCAAACTCATGCGTTTAGCCATGCATTACAATGGGTGTGGTCGAATACCTATGAAGTTAATGGAACTTTTGAAGGATGGACACCTACACTTGCAGAGAGGAATCGGTATTATATGGCTGACATGGATGTTACGACGGCTGCTGCGCGCATTCTGGAAGATTATAGATTTCGACACGTGTTGGACATGAATAAAGTTCGCCCCTTCCTCGAAAAGGCCGAGGAAACAGACGATCCTGTGTGGCTACTGAAAGCCTATACGACCACTAGTGGATTTCATAAGACACTGAATGAAGCCTTGGCAAAGGGGCGATCACTCTTCGATAAGCACGACCGGGAAAACTATCATGAAAGTATTTATGAATTCGTTGGTTGCTTCATTTGTCGCCTAAGTCCCGACAAATTGCATAAATACCGCTACAGTGGTATTTCGTATCGTGGAGTGACGCTTCTTCGCGAAGATTTTGAAAAAAACTACACAGTTGGCAATGTATTTATGATCAAGCCATTTACGTCAACGTCAAAAATCCGTCAGGTGGCTGAACTTTTTATAGCATCTTCTTGGAGTGGTTCTTCCGAGCTTCCCGTCATATGTATTTTCGACACTACGGGTAAACCACGAAAATCCCACCCAGTGTGTAAGTCCAGGCCGCCGCCTATAGCACTTGAGATATCATCCTTCTCGCAGTTTCCAAACGAAGAAGAAGTGCTTATCCTTGCACATACCGCATTCAGTATTCAAAGCATTGAATATTTACCATCTGGAATAATCGAAATCAAACTTGATTGGTTTTGGGATTAACTGCTGGATTATTTTCCGTGTTCTTCGTGCTATTCTGTACTCACTCTTTCAAAAAGAAACTTCTTGAGTTGAACCTCCACTAAACTACTTGGTTCACGTCGAAGCAGTTCGCCAGAAATCCTTTTTCTCTGAGAAGCAAGAGTTCTACAAGGGAGAATGAGGTTATCGTAGATACACCTCCAAGATTCTCCTCGCGTTTCAAAGATTGAAATTTAGGAATTTCAGAATTGAAAAGTATTCACTTTTATGAATTCGCTTTTTGTTGAGATACTGCCTTGGAATAGTTAGCAATCGATAAATATGCTAGCTTGAACTGCGGCATGGCTGTTCAAGCGTCTCCTAAAACGTACAGGGTGCGTAAAAATGTTTTTCCAAGAGGGTAACTCTATGCTAACAAACAGCAATCATAATGAATTTTATACCAAATGAAAGCGCGGAAAAAATGTGTTCTTCTAATACTAAATTGTAAGGGTTCGAAAAATATTTTTATAACAAGGACAGCAAATCTCTGAAAAAACTGTACCAAAAGTAGTCTTCTTTTATTCTGATGCTAAAGTATAAGGCTTTTAAAAATTATTTCATGACGAACATATTTTATTTTCAGGGTTTCACAGATCATTTAACATGATTCGGCACGTAAGATGATATCATTCTTATTCATTCTCTTATCCGTTTATGTTCCACTTTTGAATATGAAGAATAATATGCGAGCAAGATAGGAAAACGTGTGTAGCAGTATTCCTTATCTATTCTTCACTAAATATCTTTCTGTTCTGTGAGCACGTTTCGATTTCATTCGTCGGATGCCATTGCTGTTTGTGCAATGGCATTCAGATCAGGTGAATTGCCAGGCCATATGTCATTACCCCAAAAAGTGATATCGTTCTCTTTAAGCAAAAATGTTGCGTCATATTTGCACACATGCATGGCGCTTTGTCATGGACAAATACCACTTGATCAAGATCGATTACATTTTCTTCGTCCTTGAGAAATGGACACACGTGCTGCATCAGAATAACGTCACGGAAGTATTGACCAGTCCAAGATTCACCCTTCTCTTTTATTACCCAGTGCTGCTTTTTGCCTGTAAAAATGATGAAAATACCGATGCATGCTTGATTTTTCACCATTTCGCGATATCTTCTATCGTCTTCAATACTTCTTGCCCAAACTCTATCATTTTGATAATTTGGCCTGCGAATAGTCCAAACATAAAATTCGTCCGACGATGCGAGATGGAGAAAATCCTCTTGAGTCCAGTCTCTTAGCCAACTTCTTTTTTGCTTGCCAGTTGCATTGCGAATGAGATTTTGACTGGTATCGGATAGTTTCAGTTTTCGACCACACTGAGAATAATCAGGAAAGAAGTGGTGCTTTTATCCCCTTGGGAAATACTGACAGCTATCTCCCGAAAAATGAAAAATTCTATATCTCTGAAATGAAACATACTTGAAGGCTGAAACTTTCAGCGTAAATACTAGATTAGGGTAGATATTTTGTGTAAAAGTTTCAAGCGAATACTCAAAAATTCGACGGAGTTGTGAATTTTTCAATTTCTTGGATTTTTCGCTGAAAAAATTAGAAAAATGCGTATAACTTTTGAAAAACGCAAATTGGGCCGATATCCTTTTAGGCCTTTTCATACCTCCATATGACATATCGATCGATATATGAATGAAGGAAATCGGAATCCTTCACTTGAGAACGTTCCCTCGTTAGAAATTGGATTTTAATTCTTTCCTTAAAATAAATTTTTGCAAATTATCTAGACTTGTAGAGAAGTCTTTGGTCTATCCAGACATCTATTTTTTTCAGTTTTAATTAACGTCAGATCAATTAGAAGTTGAAAACATCAGTCCCAACCATTTCTGCTGTAATTCTAAAATCACCCTATGCGGGTTTACGTGTTTTACGCATTCGCCCTATTTAGAGTGATCTTTGAAAGTCGATGGATAGAGAGACAGTCTCTCTTAGTGATCCAGAATCAGATCCAGATAAGGTTTCGAAACATTTTTGGATAGATCGATAGCCATCATCTGCCAGAGAGATCTGTCGAATCAGTTTTTCAAAAATGTTAAAAAATAAAAAAATTAATAAAACAGCAAAAATTTGCTTCACGTTTTTATTCCAAATTAACCCTAATCAACCCTGTGTGTTTCCTTTACTAGAAATGATTTATGTACATGTCTATATCTTTGTACGTATTTGCTTGCACTTAACAGAAAACAAAAAAAAGTCAGGATTTTGCTATGAAGAAGTCAAGCACAATACATTTTAGCCAAACTTGATAATGATTGTCAGAAAAAATAAGGATAACCGATAAGGAGCGGTTATCGTTTTACCGTTAGGAAACGGTCACGATATCCATTATCGTTGCACGCCCATTCATTACTAGCATGTCGGATCCTATTCATCATATCCGCTAATGTAGGTAAGTCAGCCATTATGTATTTTCAAAATTTCTGATAAAAAATAATTTGATGTAAAGAATTTCTTCAAAACGGCCCTTTAATTACTAATAATGAAAGAAATATTGTTTTCTTTTAAAGTTTATCAATAATTTCATTAATTGTTTGTTTACAATCTTTTTCAACTAACAAAGTTTCAATTGTTTTAACAAGATAAGTATATTTGAATGAATCATTATCTTCAATTAATAGTTTTTGTTGACAAAAATTTACCGCTTCATTATAAGCATTCTTCAATTTATAGACTCTTATTATACGCTCGATACCACTGATTATCAATGTTTGCTGTCCGTTAGGTAAAATTTTTTCTTTTACTTTCAATGCAGAATGATAATAATCAAGTGCTTGATCATACTTAAATTGCTCTTCGTAAATACGGCCAATTTGCCTTAAACACCATGCGATTCGTGGATGTTCCTTAGGGAAAGTTCTTTGTCGTATTTCAAGTATAGTTTTAAAACATTCTAATGCAGAGTCGTATTGCTTTTTTTTTCTAAATATTAGACCAATGAGTTCCGTTAATGTACCTGTATTATTATCATTATTTATATGAAAAATATTCAGCGCTTTATTGAAATAATCGAACGCTTGATCAAAATCACCTTTTCGATAATAAACGGAACCGATACTATTTAATGAACGACCTAATTTTGGATGATTTTCGGGTAACTTTTTTTGACGTAAGTGATACGCCTGTATGTACATGTCAAGTGCTAAATCAAATGCATTTTTTGTTTTCAAGACATTACCGATTTGATGATAAATTTCGCAAATATCTTCGTGTTCATTTGGTAATGTCTTTAACAGCATATGAAAATATTTTTCTGCTTTATCGCATTCTCCAATATCTTTGACCAACAGACGACCAAAGAGAATGATTGGACTATAATTAGCCATTCACGATCGTCCACATAAGAAGTCCGAAATAAAATAGCACTTTTCGATTCAAGTTTTGATCTTATTTTATTTTATTTTACCGCTTAAACTATCTAAATTTAAGGTTTTTCTATCTATTAGACTTATCGATATTCATGAACGAAAAAGCTTTATTATTTTAATTTTAAAAGATGTTAGCACACAGCACAATTATCAGCTACCAAAATATACTACCTTAGTGAAACTTCTGGTACTCAAGATCTTGGGTTAAGAAATGCAACAAGATCTTGGATTCTTGAATTTTACACTCAAGATCTTGAAGCATCTCGGTTTACTCCAGTCAAAATGTTTCACTAGGGATAAAGTACTCGATCTTGGACATTAAACGAGGGAATCTGTTTTCTTTTGTCATATGTTTAGATTGACATGTTTTTCGTACTAAAAATAGGAAACCGATACGAACTTTAAGCAGAAATGATAGTGTATAAAAAATGTAGCAATAGAAGTTCACAGTTAGCAGTATAACAGAGAATCTATCTTCGTTGTTTAGATCATGCATCTCTACTGTAAATTGGCTTTTCCCATAGAGCATGTAGAAATCTGGTTTACGAGTTAAAAAATGATTATTTTCGCATAATATGGTTTTTTCCGATAAAAAATTCCTTGCACTGAATTTTTGCAAAAAATGTTTTATTTGTAAAACTAACAAACTATACATCATTGGATGCAGTTTTTCATGCTGATTCCAAATACGACGTTAGTTTTTCAAAAAACAGCGTTTCTCGGCTGAGAAAAATGGGAATTATCATAAAACCCAGGGTTTTTTGAAAAACCTATAACTCGACTTTGAAAAATATGTGCATTTTTGTGCATTTACCATAGATGCAGCATATGTCGACAAATATTTTGATGTAATTTTGAGTTAGATTTCGAATATACACTTTTGATAATTTTGAATTGGCTTGATTCAATAGGAGAATTGGCTGATACATAGGCTATTTTTACTTTTATTTTTGCGCGATAAGACACCTCATCATTCAGAGTATATTCGATACTACTTGAATTTTGAAAAAGCGCATTTTCGAATTCTTACCAAATGTCTGATACTGTGTACTGGCTGGGCGTCTAAAAAATCTTCAATTTTTATGGTGCAGATGACTAAGCATGATGAATCTTACATCAAGAAATACATAAATTTCTGCTATTTATTTTAGACATTGGAAATCTAGGGCGCTTAGTCATTAACTATAAGTAAATGAAAAAACGTTCTTTGCTTTTTATTGGAGAACCCTGGAATTTTTCAAGTACAGTTGAGAAAGATTTGTTTTGTAGGTGTTTAATGTGCCGTGACGTCTCCACATCCCAAAATTGAGGGTCGATAAAAATTTTCTAAATATCCAAAGCAGCCAAAATATATCTTTTTGAAAAAGTGTTTGTTAGCGAAAGGGGGTAGAAAAAACTTTTCGCTATGCGAGGTTAGTTGTCGAAACTCTTAGTCTGTTTCCTCCAAGAATAATATTTGAGAAGCTGATGCAAAAAGTGTTGACAGCGCCGTTGTTTCTGATATTATTCTATGGTGCGTTATAATAGAAAAAGAGCAATTGGATCAGAAATGAAAAATTCCATTCGATATAAAAATTGAACGCTCAACAGCCATAAAATTACTTGGCATGAGACTTGTTCATGATCTCACTTGGAAACGCCACTTAGAACATATTGCGTCTAATTGTACAAAGATGTTGGGATCTATTTCTCGTGTGTTTAGGGACGCTCCACCTTCGTTACGTCTTCACTTGTATAAAACTTGTGTTCGTTCGACTTTGGGATATGGTTCTATCATTTATAATTCACCCTATTCTACTCACTTATTTGTATTAGACAAAGTACAGAATCTAGCATGTAGAGTCATACTAAAAGACTATGTACCGAATTCTATTATCGTTTCGAGTCAGCGGAATTTACTACCATTATCCTTCTGGAGAAAATTTTCACGTTTAGTTTATTTGTATGGTTGCAGTGCTCTTTCTGATAGCAGTCTTATCAGTCGTCCATCCACCCGTCAAACTGAGAAAAACTCAAATAACAAACGGGTCCAGTGTCAGAACTACACCCTAAAATCTGCTTCCGGTTCTTTTGTACCAAAAGCTATAGAGGACTGGAACAAATTGCCTTGTACTGTTATTCGTCAGAATATGCTAAGAGCATTTTCAACTGTATTAAAACAACAGCTTTTTACTGTATACATTTTTGTTGTGTGTGTGTGCGTGTGAGCTTTTATTTTATCTGGTGTTACATTCGAACAAGCTCTAGCTTTCTTATAATTCCCATGTATTATTTTAAAAAATAAAATTCATTCATTCATTCGCCATATTCCATTTATATGAAGAGAGTATATGAAACTTGACGTTGTTCGCTTTCGGCGAACATTTTCTTCCATAAAAACAGACGTCATTTATGAATGTTTTATTTCTTTTCTTGAAAAATCTAAATATTCTTGAGTATATTTTGATCCATCCTCTGTTGCTGTCATTTGTATTTTCCAATAGTTATAATTATAATCAAAATATATATTATCAATTTTGAACACGGCTCCTAAGCTGAACAGAACTTCTTTTTCGCCTTGCATTCCACTGTACTTATCAATATCAGCAAATACAACTGTTTTCAGATTAGAATCCACTTGAATTTCAAATAAAACTGGTTTCAATTCATCTGTATCACTTGTGCCAGAAATAAATACTAAAGCTATATTAATATCTTTAGTTGCTGAAAAAAATCCATTTGTCGATATTAATACACCAATACTCTGTTTCAATTTTTCAAATTCTTGTATCGATAGTAATTGTCCACGATATAAGGTTAACATATCTGTCTTCTGAAGAAGTCCGTTTTCATATTCTAATTGTTTACACAAATCAATAACATAAAAACGAAACAAATACAATAAATCAATATCTTCTGTTCGTAAAGCTTTGTTTAACAGTTTATAGAGAAAACATTCGTCTGTATACCACTCAATAGCTCTGTCTGCTGTATATGATGTTCGAAAATGATCGATTTTTCGTAGCTGAAATTTGTTTGATCGATAATAATCAGAACATTTTTCAAGCATATCATTTTTACTTTGTTCAGTCTGGGGCATTTTTTTCAAAATATCTAATAGTAACTGATACCATAGAAATGAAGCCGAATCCTTAGATAAATCACGTGTTGATTTTTGTTTTTGTTGATCGAATAAGTTGAATGCTAATGATTGTTTTGATACCAAATGAAGAGTATCACGAATTGATTTTAACAATAATTGTTGATCAGTAAATATGTCAATCACTTTTGAATATTGACTTATTAATGATTCATATTGACAACGATTATTACCAAAGATAAATATTGAGTTTATTGATTGTTGACCATGTACAACAGGGAGAATATTTCGTGATAAGAAAGGAGAGACGATAAGAAGTATTTTTTCACTAACAACAATTTGAATATAGTCAATACATAGACGAGGATCAGTATAATATTGAATATAATTGTTTAATTCTGAAAATAATGATTGTTTATAACGAGATTCGAGAGAATCATTGATATTTTCATCTAACCATATTAGTGTAACATCTTCTAAATTTTCTTCTGTTTCTTCAGGTCGCAAATTTCGTCGATTTTCACTCGTCATGAAAATGCTTGAAATTGTAGAAATGTGGTCATTTGAGTTTCGTTCGTTTTCACCTTTTAAATTCTATATTTTGATAGAAATTAATGTACATAGAGTGAATTTATATTTTTAATTTACGGCTTACTTTTAGATCGGTTTTTTACTTTATTAATTTAAACATGTTTGATTCTTCTCATTCAGTCTCCCTTACTTATTTGTCTATGAACAACAATAGAATATTTACCAGCAGGATTTTTTCGCCTCTACTAATCTTTTTATTCGCTTTCTTTCTTTTCTCCAGTTATATAACCAGTATATTGCCTAAGTGTGTGTACACACGATGAAGAAACGAACGTGGGAAGAAACATCAAGAGCAATGTTGGCCTCGACACAAAATGAATCTGAATCAAGTGTATCATATGTATAGAATCATGCTGTTAAAGTACTTACATGAGTTAGCGACGTTTCGTCTTTATTCAAAAGATATCATCGATCGACGTTCTGCGAAATCCATCACAAAAGGCGAGTTTCGGATTTAAAGTTGTCCACACCAGATTATTTATTGTTAGTAGATCAATTCGCGAGACACAGGACTTTAAGAGAGCGGTCTAAGGGGGCAGGAGCCCCATTTAGATTTTCTTCTAACGTTCCTAGTTTTTAGAGGATGCGTCGAAGTACTTAGGGCTGACCAAAAGTTCTGAGATTTGCAGATAAAAATCCAAAGAATAGACTTAATCAAGCTTTCGCTCCAGCAAGTATTCGAACTCGTAGCTATGATTACCCACACATAATTAATTTCTTCCAAGGCATTTGTCAAAAGACTTTTTCGAATAATCTTTACTTAAAAACTTCATGATCTTGGTTACGGCGCTCAGTTCATTGGTTAGAACCGTTTTGATCGACTAAATTGTTGGACAGGATCGTCCAAAGACATATGATGATTAAAGCCCTGGACAGATTTAGAAGACCCGGGGTCTTCTATTCTGTCCTATCATTCACACGTTTTAGGAATGTCTTCTATTGTGTCCCTTAGAGAAGTGTTATTTTTTCAGTGTCTTTAGCAGTTAATGTCATTTTCAACAATTTTTTGCTAATTATTTCATATTCATTCAGCCTTTTTATGCTTTTTCTTTCTTTTCTCCTGTTATATAACCAGTGTATTGCCTAAGTGTGTGTACACACGATGAAGAAACGAACGTGGAAAGAAACATCAAGAGTAATATTGGCCTCGACACAAAATGAATCTGAATCAAGTGTATCATATGTATAGAATCATGCTGTTAAAGTACTTACATGAGTTAGCGACGTTTCGTCTTTATTCAAAAGACATCATCGATCGACCGTCGATTCTGAAGGCATAAAAATAAGGGATAAAATACAAACATGTAGTATAAAAACAAAATAAAATAAATAGAACAAAAAGAACTTTCTTTTTTCTACTATATGCGCGAACTACGGGATACGTCATCAAAATACTTTGAGATCAAAGCTTTTTTGTGAATAGATTTTTCTTTTGTTTTGTACTTAGGGCTGACCAAAAGTTCTGAGATTTGCAGATAAAAATCCAAAGAATAGACTTAATCAAGCTTTCGCTCCAGCAAGTATTCGAGCTCGTAGCCATGATTACCCACACACAATTAATTTCTTTCAAGGCATTTGTCAAAAGATTTTTTCGAATAATCTTTACTTAAAAACTTCATGGTCTTGGTTGCGGCACTCAATTCAATGGTTAGAACTGTTTTGATCGACTAGATCGACCAAAGACATACGGTGATTACGTTATTTGGTAATAGGTAATGAGTTCTATATTTGTCATCAACAAATGGAATGAAAGTCATCAAACTAGTTGGGTTGCAAACGAAGAATCTCCACCAACTATAATTCGACTCAGCATGTTAACTGCAAAAACGCTGTTTTGTATCTCTTTCAAAAAGACTGGTCTAATTCTCTTAAAAAACGACACATGTGGAAAGAGGGCAGACAGTTGATTACTATTATCATATCAATAATTGCCTAGAACCACTTATCAGCGGAATGAGATAGCAAAGATCATCACATATTACTCATGGCATCCCATTTCCTTATGACAACCTCTGACCATAGACTGATAAAGATATTTATAACTATCTCGAATCAGAACCTATCATAATTGTGGCGTACCCCCCTTATTCTACGGATCAAGTACTACGCCGTTTTCAGTTGTTCTATCTTATTAATAAACTCAGTCCATCAAAACTGTTCTAACCATTGAACTGCGTGCCGCAACCAAGACCATGAAGTTTTTAAGTAAAGATTATTCGAAAAAATCTCTTGACAAATGCCTTGAAAGAAATTAATTGTGCGTGGGTAATCATGACTACGAGCTCGAATACTTGCTGGAGCGAAAGCTTGATTAAGTCTATTCTTTGGATTTTTATCTGCAAATCTCAGAACTTTTGGTCAGCCCTAAGTAGCTTTTATTTCAGAAAAGCGTTGTACTAATTTCATAAGTCGCAGTAGACGCCGTTATTTTTACCTATTTGGGAAATTTCTCTTTTTTACTATTACAAGCCCGTATGTTTATTTCTGGAAGCGTAAACAATATGTTTTGATTCATTCGAACTATACAAAGTTCATTTTCAAGAAAAACTTGAACATTAACTTTGTATAGTTCGAAACGTCGAAAATCATTTAAAACTAAATAAAATACTTTAATGAAGTTAAAAAGCGCAGCTGTTATCGTGTTTTTTACAT